ACACACACACACACACACACACACACACACACACACACACACACACACACACATACATATCATGTTGTCCTGCTTTAGTTCTGTCCCACATGGTTCTTAGGCTGGATCAGGTTGGTCTGAAAGTCCTACACTGTACCCTGTCCTGGATCTGGACTCTGGGTCTCAGTGAAGCCCTCAGACCTGACCTGGTACCTGTGTGTGTGTGTGACAGAACCCAGACGTGGTTCTGGTCCACTATCTGAACGTGCCGTCTCTGGAGGATTCTGGGAAATGCAGCTCTCCTCTGTGCACGGTGTGGGACCGCCACGACAGTGTGAGGTGGAGCCGAGAGGACCTGCTGAGCCAGCTGAAGCCCATGTGTAGGTCCCAGAGCACGCTCGTTAACGTGCACGCTCGTTAATGTGCACGCTCCTAACGTGCACGCTCTCTGTGTCTCAGTCCACAGCATGATGTGTTCGCTGGGCCCCGGAGACTTCAGCATCGAGGAGCTGGTCCAGCACATCCTGGACCGACAGAGAACCAAGCCCCAGCCACGCACACACACCTGCCTGTGTCACACCAACCAGGGTGAGGCTGGGCCGTGACATCACCGTGACATCATCGTGACGTCACAGCTGACCCCAGGTGTTGTCTCTGTCCACAGTGTCCTCCGGAGTCAACATTCCCCACCGCTGTAACAGCACCAAACACCGCATCATCTCCCCCAAACTGTCCTCCCACCTCCCCTCTGAGCCGGGGGAGGCAAGCAGGGGTGCCGGGGGAGAGCCCAAACTGCCCCACCTGCAGGCTCAGATAAGCCCCGCCTCATCCCCCTGCCCTTCATCCAGGTGAGTCTTCCTCAGAGGACCAGAGCATGGAATCATGGAGACAGTTTGTCCTCACAGGGTGATTTTATTTTTAACTCTTTATTTAACATTTTTCATATTTGTACATTAAAACAGAACAAAGAGAAAAAGTGAAAATTACACAGAAGTTTGGGCACTAATTGTGCTTCTTTGCTCTTATGTTAACCATTTAATGCAGCGTTTATTGAAAACATCACTTTTGATACGTAGGAAATATGTCATCTTTTCCACAGTGTGCATGTCCTCCACCATTCCTTTCCAGTGGTCCACCTGTGGTGGGAGGGTCTTTATCCAAGACCGGCTTATAGTCCTTTTGCTTGCAATCAGTAGACTTTTAAAGAGATAATTGTCTTTTTTCTGAAGCGTATTAACAGTTATTACTCCCACTCCCAACAAAAGTATCTTGGGATGACGTATCCCAGTATTTCATTCAATTCAATTCAAAATTTTATACATTTCATTAAAAATACTATATACAATAATAAAAATAAACCAAAAACATATACAAATCAAAATAAAATGAAAGGTAGCAGAAAAAGAATTTACTGAATGTCTTGACAGATCTCATCTCAAAATGAWACCATGTTTGGACAGGACCAACATATGTGGGACTGGTTGACATTCTGATGACCACATRGCCTCCAACATTGCTGTTGTTTCCTTTTTGTTTACTGCTTATTTGTGGTGTAATAAAATATATAATTTGGCACTTCCAGCTGAAATCCCTCCATCTTTTAGAGCTAG